GGCTCAGAAGGGCCTGAGGTATCAAATAATGACGCTGGACTCCTCCATAAAAAGAATAGATTCTTTCGTGTTTCGCGTCCGGTTTCATTCTATCCTCCGAAACCCAAGAAAGGCTGCGGCGTAGCTCGATCCAAATTGGAACGTGAACTTGAAAAAAATAGCCTACTGCCCCGTAGTTTTGCATACATGGTCTTACAGGAAAAATCTGCAATCTATAGAGTAGAATTCTCAACAGCTGAGGCTAATATTCAACCTTTATACGTGTATCCCAGAAAGGAGCTTTTCGTTGAACCTAGAGACAAGGCTACGCAGCTCAAGTCTGAGGAGTTTATGCGGGAAGACTATGATAAAAATAGTAGCCGTCTATGCATGCTAAAAAAAAGCTATGAAATAAGCGAAAATGTTACCAAAAAGTCGAGATCTACATCACCGGCCAGGAAATCTTTGCGTGTCTACAAAGATGAGCTAAGTTCAGAGAGACCCAGTTCTGTTTCAAGGGCAGAGCGTGTCAGAACTGATGGTATCATCTATGTGGAATTCAATGGATACATGCTGAAAATTCGCTGTGATATGCTACAGACCAGTAAGTTAAGACAGCCGGCCTCGAAAGAAATTAAGGAGATAATCGAAAACTTGAATATGGAGACTACAGACCAGCGTAAGAACAAGGCAGAAGTAGTGACACGCTGCGGCAACGATTTATTAAGAGTCACTTTTTCAATGGTAGACATTAACGTCGAAAGAGCTTATCTTAAGGAGGATGTGGGGCTACAAACTGAATCAGAAAATGTCTATCTAAGAGATAGAAACCTAATCACTGGCAAGACCAACTTTATTTCAGTGCCCGAGTCAACCTATAATTACGAAGACCCAATGAAACAAATCCATTATATCCACCTCAGTTTTCAAGGGACTGATGCCATCCCCCTCTGGAAATACAATCTGATGCAAGAAAGAATTGCCATTGCAAGAGGATCTGAGGAGTTGAAAAGAGATCATGAAAATGCTTATAAGCGAACTCAGGGATCAAAACTCATATTTGAGGCTTTTGATGCATTAGCCACGGTGAAAATGGGCCAGCTATGTAGTGAAGTGGCTAAAGGTCTCTTAAATTACGAGAACTCGATGGCGAATCTTCATGCAAGAAGGTTGGGAGGAAATTCCCTATATTCCAGACGTGATGAAGAACCTGTCTTAGAAGAAAGTTCTCAGGTAAATATTGTGACGACTAGTAACAATTTTATGTTGTGATTTTATCCATCATTATTTATTTAATTGCGATATCAAAACTAACATTTGGCCCGGCTTTGTTTCGATAAGCTAAGGAATCAGTGCTAGCGTAGAATGCATAATTGTAGCTAAGTCTTAACCATGATTCCCAGTTAAAAGTTAGCCTAAATTATTTTAGCTACACGTTTCAGCCTAAGCTGCATATTAATAATGGCATTATCTTGTCGTTTATGTAATTGGCCAGTAAGAGCCAGCATATTAAATCCAAAAGCATGGAATAGTTAGCATCTCATTTCTTAGCCATACTGATGAGCCTTTTCTGGGTCTTCGGTAACTCATTGCTTGTCTTTATTTACAGGTTACCAGGTAAAACTTTTTTTGTTTTGTATTTGGGGCTCTCGTAAGCTAAAATGTTCACCCATTTACAATGCCCGATTAATCAATGGTATTATCAGTCAGAGTTATCAAATATTTATTTAAGGTAGGAAACCATTTTGGGTTATAAGCTTTTAGGATAAGTGGGATCGTAAAAATTATAATTGTATGAAAATTTGCGGTAAGCAAATTCAAATAATTTAATTAAATATGAACTCACATGTCAGAAGCGCTTGACTAGGGTCCTGGGTAATTAAAAATAATGTTAGTTCTACCTTGTTTTTGCAACTTAGTCAGAGCATCAGGGATACCTTAATCCCGTGTCCTCTGCTATAATATTTGTGATTTCCAGTATTGGACCATTGGCTGGGTGCATTCCCAAACGTATCGCCGGCATTGTCAGTGAGAGGCGCCATTGTAAGCACAGATTTGTAACTTATCAACTTGTCATTTTGATAAATTGTAACTCTGTGCTTACGATGGTGCCTCGCATTTTCCATTACATTTGAGGGTGATAAGATCACCGACTCCAAGTTGGGTACGATTCATATTTCTAAGCCTGTCCTGCGACCTAAAGGAAGATAAAACACCGTAGGATGTGATGATGAAGTTGTGCAACGATCAGACTTCCAAATTAAAATGATTGTATGCGGGTAGATGGAAAAGAAGGTGCAAAAAGCAGTAGGAGATTGAGCTGGTTTGAGGCAACCAAGAAAGCTTGCCGGAGTCGTGTTGCTTAACTTGAAGACTTCAATGGATAGAACGTTATTAAGGCTCAACACGGATAGGCGGCGTTGATCTGAAGCCTGCTCCGCGATAAGGTTGCATTACTTTTGCGGAGCATCGGTTATTCTGCAGATGCGGAGGTTACTAAACCGTAATTTTAAAGCCTTGCGTGTGACATAGGCGCTAGATTAGAACGATCTTTCATAAACCTATGAAAGGCAGGCTTGCACTTTCTTGGATGCACAAGATAGGAGGGGCGCATGAGATTATGACACACACTTGAAAAAGCACGTGAAGGTGCACGCGTTTGAAATGTAGGATGGCTGTGAGGTTGGAGATACGGCGCTGACAATTAGAGGCTCTAGGTTGTAGATGAGAGGAGCGTCAGGACTTTCCAAGAGGTGATCCTGAAGGAGACGACGGATGTCTAATAGAAGAGAATGACGGTTGTGCGTACTGGCCGGCGTGAGGCGACGAGCCAGTCACCTCACGGTAGGCAGGGCCAAGGAGAAGTCACTAGGTCCAAAGTACTTCATGGTTGAGACACTTGCACGATTTGAATTCTGGCTTTTGATCGAATCAAATTATCAAAATCAGATAGATTAAAATGTAGGCTAGAAGGAGTGACGAGATTCAGTTTGAAAAAACATGAGCTAAAGGTGTTGGTGAGTCATATTCACTAATGGTCATTATAACAAGACTGTGAAGTACACATTCGAAGTTATTTAGTGAGGAGTAGTGAGGATAAATCACTAAATAAATAAATAAATTTTAATTATAGTTACATTTTATTTTCACAACTTGGTCAGATCGTCAGAGAGGCTGTGTAGAACTTACCTAATCCCATGTCCTGAGCCATGGTATTCGTGAGTTCACAGCATAGCACCATTGGCTGGGAACAATCTCAAACGTTTCGCCGGCATCA